TCTCTCTCTCTCTCTCTCTCTCTCTCTCTCTCTCTCTCTCTCTCTCTGTTTTTCAAGACAGGGTTTCTCTGTAGTTTTGGAGCCTGTCCTGGGAACTAGCTCTTGTAGACCAGGCTGGCCTCAAAATCACAGAGATCCCCTTGCCTCTGCCGCCCGAGTGTGAGCGCGCCACCACAGCCCCACAAGTTTTACATTTCTTATATCCATAGAAAACGAACCTGAGAGTTTTCCTTCCTGTGCAATTTCTCGTCTTCCTTCTTCATAGTCCATGAGGTTAGCTGAGGTGGTCAGTGCAAGAAAACAGAACTGACAGAGTGGGAGCAGGCTGTCCTGCCATGTTTGTTCTAGGTGTTGAGACACACACCAAGTCTGGGACTGATGTCTCCATGTTTGTTCAACCTGCTTGTGAGGTTAACACTCTTCTTAGCTCTGTGATCATCAGCGATTCCAAACTCTTGGGTATAACCAGGCTTCGTCCTCACAGGTAGAAGCCAGACGATTTGGGAGCTGATAAGGAATGGCATTGGCTTCCCTCTTCAGCTGACTGGTGCTCTTAGTACATCATCCAGGACACTCATGTGTACTGTTGCGGCAGCATGGAAGAATGGCAGAAAGGGAAGATGAGCAGCTCAGAAAGGTCAGAGAGATGGCTCAGGGCTTAAAAGCAACTACTGCTCTTTCAGTGGGTCTGGGTTTGAGTTTCTGTGCCCATGTGGTATCTCACAACCACCTCTAATTCCAGTTCTGGGAGATCTGTTGCCTTCTCTGGCTTCCAGGCATGTGTGTAATGCACAGACATACAGGCAGGCTAAACCACGACACATGCAACATAAAATAAAAAGTTGCAAAGAGAGACCAGGAGGGACTGGTTCATCGAATTTCCTGGTTACTTCTCTTGCTGCTATAACAAGATAGCTGACAAAAACTTATGGAAGGAGGGGGACATTTTGGATCACCATTTGGGGGTACAGATCATCATGGCAGGGAAAGTATGGTGGCAGAAACTTGAGAAAGCTGGTCACACTGCAATCAAGAAGCAGAAGATGAAGGGTGGTCCTCATCTTGCTTTCTCCTTTTTATGGAGCTCAGGATCTTTGGCCGTGACATGGCATCACCTGCAGTTAGCGTGATTAACTAACTTGATCTTGATAATCCCTGACACGCATGCCAGAAGTGTGTCTTTTCAGTGACTCTAGATCGTGGTCCAAGACAGGAATCTAGAAGGAGGTATTTCAACCTGGCTTTAAAAGCTACGCCTAGTTAGAAACAGAGCCCATGGAGGGGTTGAGACTGCGCGTATGAGCAGAACCTCATACAAACATCGTACAAAGTCTTAGCCCAGAAGATTCTGGAAATGCAAATTGTGGAACAGAAGGAAACGTTTGCAAATCAATATCAGACAAAAAGGCCTGTCTCCCAACTATACAAAGACCTCTCAAAGACCAGAGTGAGAATAGTCAGATTGAACCAGTTATTGGACAAAAGACTTAAACAGGTAACTTCACAAAAGAGATGCGCAGACAGTTAGGACGGGAAAGACATTGCAGCACACTGACCACCATGAAGTGCAAATGCAGTCACAGTGCGACCCCACTGTGCGCCGACTAAAACGACCAAAAGTCCTTTTCACGTGTCTACAGGAGTTAGAAGGACTGAGACCCTCATGAACAGCTGACAGAATTATAAATACATGCAAGAACTTTTTGTTTGTTTGAGACACGTTCTCTCCATGTAGCCCTGGCTGTCCTCAGACTCACAGAGACCCTGTGCTGGCATCCACCCACATACCTTGCCCCACCGGGGACTGACTCTTGAGGAACATTCGCCACCATGATCTTGCCATTTCTCTCCTTTGTGTTGAATTTTACCTTTGCTCTGTGCTCCTAGAAATAGGGACAATAACCCAGGGTTGCAGAGATAGCAATGACGAACTCTGACTGATCTTGCAAGACTATGGCTGATCTTGCAAGACTAGACTAGATGCAGGGTATCTAGTGCCTTCTGTGGCCTCCACAGGCACCAGCACACATATTTTAAAAACTCTCCGTTTTCTAGATTACATAAAACAGCTTACTAGATCAAGTCATTATACTTGAATAAGATGTCCTATGCTCTTGTTTTACCTGGGACAAGGGCAGACACAGACCTTCAAATTCCCATTGCTGCCTCATGGGTGACCAGCTGACTCCCTTGTCCCTACTGTCAGTCAGAGAAAAATGCCTGGTAAGCCTTGGGCCAGATCCTCTTCTTCCCCAGGCCTCCACTTGACCCAAACCTTCACACAGTCCCCAACAAGGGAGGCCCTAGGCTCCTCGTCCCACTCCTAGCCCTGTGCACCATTTGCTTCCTTTACACTAAGCTAGTAACATGCTTCCCTCAAGTCTGTGAGTCACTCAAGCCATCTGACTGAACTGAGCGGAGAGTCAACGTCCTTTGGTCAGATGTACAAGTAAAAGCAGCTTGGGCTCATGACTAACGTGGGAAGTCAGGAGGAGGGACTTCCTGGGACCCGAGACCCAACCTCTGGGGCCTGTGCTATCTTCAGATCATGGCAAATTGAATGAGGATTCCCCAGCTGTTGTTCACTACTACAAGACTGCTCGCTTGTTTGGTGAGAAGATCCTCCGCAGACCGGAAGGGATCTGTGTTGTGGACACACGGCAGGAGAAACAGAACTGGAGCTGCTTTGCTCATGATAACATCAGTCCCCCAGAACAGTCTGTTGCCAGAAATCTTCCATGAGGTCATAACAGCTTGCATACCAAATCAAAGTGGGAAGGAGAGAAGAAGCAAATGGTATCACATCCAAATAAAACATATACCGCGAACAATCTAGCCTTCACCTCGCAGCTGCTGGGATCTTAGGTCATTGCCACACCTGGTTTATGGAGTGCTGGGGACTGACTTAGGGCTCTGTGCACACTAGGCAAGCCCTCTACCAACTCAGCTACACCCCAAGCCCAGTGATGGCTTTATTTCCTTTTAATATATGAATGTACTAGTACATATGTTCCAGAGCGGGACCTGGAGCAACGGAGCCTGCGGTGAAGATACCTCCTGCTCAGCCAATGTCTTGTTGCTTTTCCCACATACACGGGAACAGAGACTGGACAGAGAAGCCAGCCTGAGACCAGCCCTCTTCCCTCTGAGCCTCATTTGCTCCACCCAGGAGAAACTTCTACTCTGGGCTGGGAAAGTTTGTCAACAAAGCAAGGGACTCCAGGGCTTCCAAACTCAGTTGGCTGTCAGGAACTAAATGATGACCTGCTCTTTAGGGGCCTTATTTTTAGTTTCTGGATATTTTACTGTATTTGGTGATTTTTCAAAACTGGGAAAAAGTGATGCCTCATGAGTGAGCTGTATCCTGGAGAGGAAGGGGAGGGAGGAGGGCTGGGCGGGGCTTCCAGGGGAGGGTGCTGAAGCAGAGAAGCCCAACTGTCCAAACAGCCCACCAGCGGCTAGCCCTGTGACCTGAAGACTTCAGGGTGGGGTGCGTCTCAGCCTCACCCCCCCGAACTTGGCCTGGGCTCTCTGAGCCCGGGGCGCAGAGTCCTCCCCCACCCCAAGGTTCAGGTGCGCAGCACTCACTGCCTCTGGGGTGTGTGCAGCCACCCTGGCAGTGCGAGGCCCCCTTCTGCTTGTAAGGCATTCGATCAGCACGCTAGTTGGCCTGACCCTCCCCCTCTTCTCCTGGGCCGCAGGAGTCTGGAAAGCGCATTGACCTTGACTTTAGCAGTTGAAAAATTTCCAACTTAAGAGTGCTGAACGTCCAGTTCCGGCAGGCTGCGCCGCAGGGTGGGTATTGGGAATACTTTTAGGGGCTTTTGTAAGTGAGAAGTCCAGTGCGGAGAACAAGGCACTTAAGGTACAGCTTGTACTTCGCTTCAAAGGGTTAGGCTCCCCTCCCCTTCACTCCCGCTTCCTGGGACGGTACCTCTTCTCTCCTTGGATCCAGTCCCACTGGTGGAGTGATGAAATGGCCCCAAACACTACCGAGAACCAGTCCTTTTCCAACTAAGGATTACCTGGGCCTCATCAGCTGCAGCCACACCGAGAGCTTATCCCTCAACCAACCTCAAGGACGGGGAAAGAGTGCAGGATTGGCTTAGGCCTGACCTTGTTCTTCTCATCTGGAATGTGTCCTGCAGGGGAAGGGATTCCCCAGTGCTCTGAACTTGTGTCTCAGTACTTCCTGTGCCAACGGAGGCTCCGCTGTCTCTAACTGAGCTGTTTACCAATTTTATTTATTTTTGTCTATCCGTGTGTGGTGCACGCACCCATGAGCCTGCAGATGCCAATGGTTGGCATCAGGGTCTTCCTCTACCACTTTCCATCGTGTGTGTGTGTGTGTGTGTGTGTGTGTGTGTGTGCAAGAGAGTATGTGAGTGTGTACATGTGTGCAAGAGACTGTGCGTGTGAGTGTGTATGTGAGTGTGTGTGTGAGAAAGAGA